AGCTTGACAAATGAAGCAAATGCTACACTGATCCAGAGAGAAGGGGTTACAGCACAAAGTGTACTGTACTGTTACGTTTTCCATGACAGTGTCACGCACGTACAGGCAGTGTCTCGTGACTACGCCGGTGTTCTGGCGAGTTGAGCTACTTTGTCGAGTTGGGCTACCGTAGCGCTAATCAGCCGAATCCGTCGATTCGAGGTATAACGTATTACGGCATCTTTATTTATGCGTTTTAATTATTAATATATTATTGACATGTAAAAAATGTTAACATATAAAACTGTACTTAATAATATAGGGTAGCCATGCAGTGTGCTTCCAGTATAAAATGACATAAGGGGAGCCTATTTGGATACATTATTTTAACACCAACACTTAATAATATAGGGTAGCCTATCTCGATAGGCAAGTATGTAGGAATGAGGGGAGCCTGTTCGGATATATTAACACTGGACACTTCATAATATAGGGTATTATGGAATAGCTATGATAGCTTTCGTTACACATCAGGTTTTCAATCGTTTTTTAAATCAATGAATGGTAGAGCAGTGTAATGCTTACAGCGTTGTGAAAAATACGCTTATACAAAGCGTTGGATTATGAGTGCGCTTCCAGACATCGTATTTCCCCCGTAGCGTGACAATCTGAAGTAACTGGCATGTGCCACTAGGGGTAGCGTCTTTGGATGAAAAACAATAGCATTTTATTGCCATAACTTCTTTGTTTTGTCATTAAGTAACAGTAGGAATAACGTTCACATCTTCCCACGTATTATGTTTCCATTAATATAGCCTAATAAATACGACAAAGTGATGATTTAGGGTGCTTTCACACCTATAGTACGATTGCTTTAGTCCGCACCAGTCAGAAAAATGTTACAATGTAGTAAACAGACATGGGTACGGTTTGCTTTCACATATGCAGAGTTCTAAACGAACCAAAATAGACCGCGAAGCCCATACCGCGGCACCGGGAACAGACTATTTTCAGAAAATCGCGCCACTTTCAATATTTATGGAGGGACAGCTTTGCGCTCATGGCGCTGATCCTCGCGCACTACATTGTACGTGCAAATCATTATTTTCAGATAATTAATTTCGAACACGATTCGCGGCTGCGACTCCAAACCAGCTTCCTGGTTTATTCATCTCGCCGACGGCGCATTGGCCGTTTTAACATTTAATCAAGTCACACTCCTATCCGTAATTACATTTTAGATATACAGAATATCATTTCTCCTAGTCAAAATTATATTCTTACTAGTCAGAATGGCAATTACAGATGGGACGAAGGGAAACAAGGCTTCATTGCATATTTTTATAATGATGCAATAAAGTACAAAATGCGTATCATTTTTATATCATGAAAGAAATTA